GCAAGTGTAATCCAATTATCACAATGCCCAGCTTCCCTAGGAAATTCTAAGGTGCTGGAAAGAAGCCTCAGATCCAGGAACAGCAATGTGGATTCCATCCAGGCCGTGAAACAGCACTTTACTTTGCAGGTCTGTTGGAGGTGTCATTGGAGCTTGCCCATCCAGTCTGGATGTGTTTTGTGGACTAAGGGGAGTCCTGTGGGGGTAGTGCGGGAATAGGGGGTACCTGGGTCGTTGCTGTGAGCCATCTGGTCCTTGTATGACCATAGTGAGAGCTGTGTCTAGCCATACAACACAAGCAAAACAAAAAAGACAATAAAGAGTACAGAAAAATGCAATAAAGATAATACAAATATAAACATACCATTCACACACAGAGATGTCAATCAGTTTGTAGTTTTTGTTCTCCAGTACATCCTTTGTACCCTCCACTTCTTTTGGGCTACTGTTCAAAATTCCATTTGATACAAGCACAAAAGAGTTCTTAAAGTGATTCAATTTGCACCGCTGAGCTCTGTTTTGTCTGCCTGAAGATAGCAGCTCATACTAAGAGTAGCTCCTCTTATGAATATCTACTCTGTAGCGTGAACGGATCCCGCCCTGGGGAAAGCGGGACAGGCTTGCGCACCTAACACGGTGGTTACTCCTTAGGGTTGTCTTTCCTGCGTGAGTTAGTTTCCTCACGGAGGTGTCAGAACAATGCCATAGGCCTTTTATCTCACCCTGTAGCTGAATCTTTTGGATTTCGGATTAATTGTCTTCCTGAGAGTCTCGTACGGCTACGCCCTATAGGCGCTCTCAGTAGAATGCAACCCTAGCACCCAGTATGAATAGTTATGTAGAACGTCTGTACTTTACTATTGCCTATTGTGAACTTTTCACCATTTCATGACTAACACTGTCAAGTCTTCACCCAGGGTACTCACCTTTAAGTTCCTCTGGTAGAGTCGGTCGTCACTTCTGTATCACACGGATGAGGGACAGGGGAAGAGGGTCAAACTGTTCTAAAAGGGACAAACTGGGCAAAAAGGGCTAAAAGACGTATCTCATAGTTTTTCCGAAGCACTATTCAAGCCTAAGTGACTATGTTACATCAATTGTCTAAGCAGGCTATATGTTTCTATCACTGCTATCATGAAATAAAACAGTTTATGTTAAATCACACTTATCATGAGATAAAACAGTTTATGTTTTACGATGGTTATAAAAAGTGTAAACAAGTTATATATTGTGATGATTATAAAGACAAACAAGCCATATGTTGTGATGGTTATAAAAAGTAAAGAACTTATATGTTGTGACAGTTATAAAAGGTGAACAATATATATGTTTGTGATGGTTATACTTTTATGCTTTCATATTTTTCTACAGTCTCACAACAACTCTAATAGCTTTCTTCATATTTGCCTGTGGACCGCATAGAGTAAACGTGTCACGTAGAAGAACTATTCAGCCCTTTTAAATGTAAAAACAGGAAAACAAACTGGATTCAAACTCATAACATTGTGTTGCAATGCTCCATTATCACCACATTGTTATGCTGTGGATGTAGCATAAACTATTTCATACAACCAGCCATCTCTCTTGAAAGCAGGAGTGACCACACTGTTTGTGGACTTTAGACCATTTTGCCGTCTGAGATTTCAGCATTTAATTAAATCAAAGTGTTTTTTATTCAGAGGGCAGCTCTGATATCAGTTTTGATATTTGTTTTAATGTTGCGTTGTATTTCGGGCTGTTTTCAGGAAATGTTTCTGTTAACGCGATGTGCTCCAGTACCCAGAGTGCTTTGTGTTTGCCTCAGCAGCCGTCTTTGTGTTTCTTAAATCAACTTGTCAACTCAGCGATGAGTTTGTAGGTCAGCGAACAAACAAAGCGTCGCCGTGCCAATTGGCTCTGGTTGTCCCACTTCTCCTCAACCTGCAAAGGTTTAACTTAACCAACATCAGTGGCCGCTCAGTCCAGATGGCAGAGCGAACCGAGGAGGAAGTGGAGGGGCCTCTCTGTCTGCCGGCCATCGCTCCAGTTTTTACCTGAAAACAAAGAGCCAAGTGTTGGGTTTCTACATCACTCTGACTGCCTTTGTGAAAGTGTGAAAGCAGAGTGGAGCTCAGACTGATCCTGATCTCTGAAAAGAAAAATCACCTGAACAGGAGGCAGAGAGAGGCCGACTGGCTTCAAACACACCATCACGAATCAGGATGGATCATAAAATCACAAATAACGGCTCTTCATCTACTGACCTGACAACACTATCTGCTCTGACCTTCAGATTTTATCAGAACTTTTTCTTTTCTTTCAGATTCTGAAACATTTGCTAAATTGACTGAAGACTTAAAAGGAAAATTTGCCAAATGTTATGTCGATGTCCGATCAGTACTGATGGTGAATGTAGTCCACTGAATGAATACGTTCTCCAGTGTGTGCTTTATTTACACACAAAGTGTATTTCTCCTGCTGCGGAGCCGTGCCTGCAGTGCCTACAGTACATGTACGCATTGCACACAAGCAGCAATTTTATTGTTACACAAGCTCTCGTAGTTTTTTTAGTCTTATTAATAAACAAGATAAATAAATATTCTACGCCTAAACAGAAAAATACAACTGTACACCTTCTGAATTCCAGTTTCTCTCTTACACTGAATTAAGACAGGTTTAATTACCTGGTAACCGTCTTCATTCACAGTGGACGGAAACTAAATAAAACTCACCACAACCATGTTCATTAGTCTTTCTACTGTTCCAACAATCAGCATGTCTGGTTCGGTCTAAATAAGGCCTTAATTCACCAAGCAAGATGGGAAAATATGTTTTCCCCCTGAGCAGAGAGACGTTAACACGACAACCAAAGAATAGAAGTAAAAATGAAAGTGATTTATTATTTTTAATTCATAGGTACTTGCAAAGGTTATCAAAATGTGGGGAAGAAAAGACAAAGCGGGAGTGCCAAATTAATAGAAATCAATATAACAATACTAGACCTGACTAAGTGTGAAAACATACACAAACAAAAAGTATTAACTTGTTTACATGAATACATGAATGCCTCCTGCATACAATAGTCTCAAAACCAAACTGAACTACTTATGTGTAAAATCAGTACCCCAACTCACATACTGACCACAAACCTTCTCAACATTTTTTCAAAACAGAAGCAGCTCATGCAGGAAGAGAAAAAAAGAGAACTTGATCCTTTTATTTAGGACCCAACACTGATGACCGGCCAGCTAAAAGTCCATGGAAACCACAGAACAGCACGGCCGGAAACTAACACATGGTTCAGTTAATTTACTCACAGTTCGTTAACTGACACATCATTTAGTTGATTTACTCACAGCTCGTTAACTGACACATCGTTTAGTTAATTTACTCACAGTTCGTTAACTGACACATTGTTGAGTTAATTTACTCACAGCTCATTAACTAACACATCGTTTAGTTAATTTACTCTCAGCTTGTTAACTGACACATCATTTAGTTGATTTACTCACAGTTCGTTAACTGACACATCGTTTAGTTGATTTACTCACAGCTCGTTAACTGACACATGGTCTAGTTGATGCACTCTCAGTTCGTTAACTGACACATGGTCCAGTTGATGCACTCACAGTTCGTTAACTGACACATCGTTTACTTGATTTACTCACGGCTCGTTAACTGACACATTGTTCAGTTAATTTACTCTCAGCTTGTTATCTGACACATCGTTTAGTTGATTTACTCACAGCTTGTTAACTGA